ATATATATATATATATATATATAATTCTGCTTGTCTCCCTTTTATTTAGTCGCTAACACTACTTGATTACCTCCCTCTCTTCCTTATCCTTTTCCTTCTTGAACGGCGCCCACTCACTCACTCACTCACTCACTTAACTTTTTTTTTTTTGTTTTGTTTCCATTTCGCCTCATGTCTTCTTCTTCTTTTTTTTTTTTCTTTTTTTTCTGTTTTCAACATCCCACTTCCCATATAATATATTGTTAACGACTGCGCCTTTTTTTTTTTCTTTGTTTTTCGTTTTCTTTTTTTTTTTTTTTTCGTTGTTCCATCTTTCTCCGTTGGTTTATCTATCGAATCTGTGGGAGGTTCCCTTCAGACTTGCTTTTTTTTCTTCTCTTTTCTTTTCTTCGCTTTTTTTTTTTCGTTTTGATGTTTGGGTTCATATTCTTTGCTGGTTTGTTTTCTTTCTTTTTTTTTTTTAATTTGCGTATCGCTTTCGTTGTCAGAATTCATTTTTTAAATCTGTTTGCGTCATTTCTCTCTGAATTTAACCGCTGAAGATATCAATGTAAGTGCGCACCTCTCATCCTCTTTGTGCTGATGTTTCCTATATATATATATAAACACAGCTATCCCTTTTTTTCCTTCTTTCTTTTTTCTCTCTATCAATGTATATTTTTCTCTGTTGGACTCTCTTCTTTGTTTTTCTTCGTTATTCTTCTCTCCAACGCACATACACACACACATATATATATATATATATATATATATATATATATATATATATATATATATATACACGCACACGCAAAACAGTAGAAAGAAATCTCAATCGTAATCGTAATAGTAATAGTAATAATAATAGTAAAAGACTTTTAAACGTTTTTTTTTTCCCCCTTTTCTTCCTCATCATTTCTTTTTTCTTTCGTTTCTTGACTTTTCGTCTTCGTCATGCATGTGTCTTATATATATTTTTTTTTTCTTTGCATACCGTTTTTCTCTCTGGTGTGTATGTTTGTTTGTTTGTTTGTTTTTCCTTTTCTTTCTTCACACCTTTAGGTACACAGACGAAATGTACCTTTCACTCCTAACAGACTGTTTATTTGTTTTTTTCGTTTTGTTTTTTTTTTTTTTTCGTTCCTTCCTCCTTCCATCTCTTCGTCTTTTGGTCGTCTTCTATTGTTCTTTCTTTATAGTAATCGTAATCGTAGTAAAAATCATAGTTTTGTTTTTTCTTTCTTTCTTTTCTGTTATTCTCGTGTAAATGTGTGTAGGGATTTCATTCCCTCTCTGTTAATACGGTGGAATATCATTTCCTCTTTCGCTTCGCACTACTTTTTTTTTTTTTTTTTCATTTGTGGATGATAGAGACTCCATTCATGTACTTTGATCTTCTTTTTCTTTTTCTGCTCCTACCGAGCAGATCACTTCTCGCCCTCAACGCCCATCATCGTCATGTGCTTATTGTTGTTGTTGTTGTTGTTATTATGATGTGGATGATGATTATGATGATGCGAGTTATAATGATGATGATGATGATGATTATTATTATTATTATTATTATTATTATTATTATTATTATTATTATTATTATTATTATTGGATCCTCTATTTCCACTGTTCATTTTAGAGCCCATACCACCACCAGTACTCAAGTTCCCTTTTCCACCATTCCCACCAACGTTATTTCCCTTCGACATGTGATTCCCATTCACACCATTCATACCGTTGCTGTTACTGTTATTATTATTATTATTGTTAGTATTAGTATTAGTATTATTCACCATACCGTTATTACCAGACACATTGGATTGAACTGCTTTCGAGCGCACATCATATATACGCAGTACACGTGCGGCTGGTGTAGCTGCAGCAGCAGTAGTAGTATTAGTAGTAGTAGTGGCTGTAGGTGTGGGAGCAGATACACTTTGTACGGTGAATGGAGATGTTCCCGGCAGTGCCCCAGCGACAATGGGGGAATTCCCTCCACTATACGTATTCTCCGGCCGTGCGGGAAATAATAAATGACTGCCATTTATATTCGTATTTGGGTTTGCACTGCTGCCATTGTTGTTATTATTATTGTTATTACCGCTAGAGACAATCCATTGACCGCCGAATGTTAACGGCGATGTGCCGCTGCCGCCAAAACAAGAGACGGCACTACCGGCGTACGTCATGGGACTCGTGTGGGCCGCCGCTGAAGAGGCAGAAGAGAGTGGCGGTGGTAGTTGTTGTTGTTGAGATTGAGATAGAGATAGAGATTGTTGTTGAGATTGGAGAACGGCGTGCCGCTGCTGATCGCAAATGGTGCGGAACGCCTCCTCCGACACTTCCCCGACCGACAGCGGCGTGGTGGTGTAACACGTGTCGCCAATCGTGACGGTCCGCGTTGCCGGCGTGACGGAGGCGAGAACCGCCATAATGTGCGGCGGGGGCTGCAGCCGCAGTTCATACTCGCGGCAGATGTGAATATTATTGCAGTCCTCCAAATAACGGCAGCGGTGGGCCAAGTGCAGTCGACAGATGAGTTTCGCGGGGAGCTCCAATACCTCCTCACGATCATCCACTGTTTGACTGTTGTTGCTATTGCTGTCATTATTCGTTTGGCTGTTATTGTTTGTAGTCGTCGTCGTCGTAGTAGTATTATTATTATTATTATTCTTCTTGCTGCTGCTGTTGTTATTGTTATTATTATTATTATTCTCCTTTGAGGAAGGTGGTACTTGTGAAGATGTCTGTTGTTCGGATTTCCGCTTGGGTGGAGGTACACTGTGGGCCATAAATCGCAGTAAACCCACTGTTTGGGCCACACGGTCTGTTGGAATCAAATCACTGCTGTCGCTATTCATACTATTACCCCCACCACCATGCTTGTTATTATTATTATGATTGGCATTATCTCCATTGGAATTGGTATTTCCCATCCCACCATTATTGTTATTACTCGTCCCACTGCTGTTCACCACACGAATAAATTTAAAACGGTTTGTTAATACCGAGGTATCATGCGGGTCATCATGTACACGACAACACGTTGGTGCATGTAAGGCCTCATATCGTAATTGTGGAATAGCGGATGGAAGTACATGTGCTTGTCTACACCACTGATGTCGACATCGACCCTCGAGAAATGAAATACAAAGAGATGGAACACTTCCAGCAGTGGCGGTGGCTTGTGTGTGGACGAGTTGAGAGAGTGGAACCCGCAGTTTACGGGTGAGGGGATCGAGAACCCAAATCCAACGTTCACCTTCGGTCTTTCCATCACTGTCCTTACTTGCACTTCTATCACCACTGTTACTCTTACTGCTGCTGCTGTGGTTGTGGCTGTGGTTATTATTGTTATTATTATTATTGTTGTTATTATTATTATTTGTGGTGGTGGTGTTGTTGTTGTTTGGGTTAGAGTTGAGGTTTCGGATCTCTTGGCTGTCCGTATGGGTCTTGTCCTTCTCCGTCTGGCTTTCACACAGTGCCGACGTCTTCACATAATCCCCAACATTTAGTCCATTGGAATTGGTGGTGTTATTATTGGTATTAGTGTTCTTGTTGTTGTTGTTGTTGTTGTTGTTGTTGGTAGTAATAGTGGTATTGTTGTTATTACTGTTGTTGTTGAGTTGAACGGCATCTGTGGTGTTATCGGCCGCAACACTCCAAAGATGCGGCTCCACCGCAGTAGTAGCCACACACCCCAAATCCATCTATCAATCTATATATATAGATACAGATATATATATATATAGATATACTTTAAACGAAGAGTAAAAAGAGAATTTGCTGCTGCTGCTCCTATTGATGCGGCAGCCTTTTTCTTTCTTTTTTTCCTTTTCTTTCTTTTCTTTTTTTGCTTAATGATAATAATAACGATGACGCTCTTGTCAAAACGACTCGCTATGTCTTTCTTTCTTTTTCTTTCTTTTCTTTCTTTTTTCTCGCTCTCTGTGTGGATGCTACGCGATTGTGTAACTCCCTCAAATAAACACGCTTTTCAATCCCAATTGGGTTTCTATCGCTATGATGCTGAAAAAGAGGCTCAATAAGAAAAAAGAGAAAAACAAAACAAAAAAACAGACAAACGTACACTCACAGGTGCACAAGAACTATACTACACAGAGAAATATACTCACCTACAATAAGCCCAGGAGTGTATGTATGCGTATCTTTCTGTTTATTACCCTATTTGTATATATATATATATATATATATATATAT